TATTATAAGTCTTTTGTGGATTTTTGAAGTTTTCATAAGTAAATAAATGAATCAGTTGTGAGTTTATAACTATAACTGTTTCAGTTTAAAACACAGGTCAGAAGTTTGATAAAGAACAAAACTAAWCACCAGGAAGTGATTTAGGACTGGTAGAATTGCTTAACCAACAATACAACAGTGTTTGAAGTGAAACTAAAAGTAACAAAGCAACACATTTCTTTGTAGAATAAGTTCTCATATACTAATAATACTTTTGTAAGTTCRGTATTGTTGATGCATTTTAGTTTAGCTTTTTCAGTGAAAATGTGTTGCTGTTTGTACATAAATATAYGACGTCAGTGATTAAAAATATTACAAATGAACAAAAACAAATTTTTGATATCAATGACATGTAAGAGAGTAACTCTTTTAGCCAATACACAATAATATTAAACATTTTTGTTCACATCTTTAGTACACAGTAATAACATTGTAGCAATACCTTTAAAATGTACATAATAATATAATAAAAGTAATATTTGTACTGATACAAACGTGAAATATGTATTTATGCTGAAAAGAAAGAACATGCATCTAATTTGTCTTGATTAGTGGCTCCAGTTCTGTCTGGTTATAACGAAAGTGTCTTTGTTTTTTTCGTTTTAATGATATTTGTCTAAGCTCAGTTGTGGACTTTGAACCTAAACACAGAACCTTTAATCTGCATGTTTATGGTACAAAGTTTGAACGCTCTTCAGAGGCTGTTAATCTTACAATACTGTCAACAGTGAAATATAATGAAGAGAAACAAAAACACTCAGCAGAAGGTCAAAGACAATAAAGTTAGAACACTTAGGTTTGGGGGAAAAGAAAGTAAAAACAAAAGCTGTTTTTTTTTTGTTTTTTTTTGGCCTTTCTGTGTGTCTTCTGTTATAGTTTTAAAGACGTCACCGAGGTTTTCTGGTTTGTTTAGACTCTGGGAAGTTGTGGCAGCGTTCTTGAGGGCTGTTAGTAGGGAGAAAAAAACACMGAAATTTGAGAGCAAGGAGAAGAAGATGAAATAAATGCCAAGTTTAAAAAAAACTTTTCATGATAAACTAAGATAGACACAAGACACATCTCGGTATGTGTTTTAAAAACAAAGTTAAGATGTAAAACTAAATTTACCAACAGTTTTAAAAGGAGGAATACAACATAAAACAGTTGAGCATCGTTATTGCTTTAAACATGCAGTGACAAAGCTGAGCTCACCTGTCACTGTAGTTTCTACTTGATAATCCTTTCAAAATAAAATACAATTTCAAGCTTCAATTTATTTCGCTTTCTTTTGTTTTCTCTCAGGAATGAGGTGAGCTCTTGTGTTCAAAAAGCTCTTAAAATTGAAAAGCGCCGAGTCTGCACGATCCGACTTTATTTCTGACTCTTTTTCTGCTTTAGCCTCTGACCGGAGCCAACGCCGACAGCTGGCCCACGCACCTCCAGCCGTTTAGCAGCGAAGAAGAGTTTGAGCTGGTGAAACACACCTACCAGCAGCTCCATCACAGCGGTTATTACTGGGGACCGATGACCATGGAGGAGGCGCACGAACTACTCTCGCACACATCTCAGGGTACTTTTCTCCTCAGGTAACGTCACAGTTTCTTTGACTTTTTAAACTTTTTATGTATTTATTTATTTATTTATTGCTGTATTTGTTAGTTTGACTCCAAATGAACATATTGAAATAGCCAAGCTTTGATCACTTTGTTCACCTTTATTTAAATTCTGAAGTTTTCTGCTTGACTCACCCCATTTTTTTTCTTCTTAAGAACTTGTTTGAGAGTTTTGGGAACGTTTTACTTGGTTGCATATTTGTACCAATACAACCGGTTAGTGTTAGGGTAAGGGTTAGGGTTTTTACCACAATTTTACCCCAATGTGTATTTTATTTTCTGAATTAAAGCCATTTTGTGTTTGCTAATCTCTGTTWGCTGTGACAGCCATCTTAAATTTAGGTGATTCCAAAAGGTAATCATTTGTCGAAGATCCAGTGAATACTTTCTGAGAGTTTTGTTCAAATCTGTCCAGTGGTTGACCAAATATTTTGCTGAGATGAGTTCAAACTTTATTATCGCAAARGAAATTCACAAGTCAACCAACATCAAGATAGAAAGATCATAAAAACACAAGACACAGTAATACAGTAAGGGCAATACAGCATGTAACCATTGTATGGAGGTAGTAATAAAAAGTTGTAAAAAACTTGACAACATGACTTAATAGGCAACAAAGGAAAAAAAAGAGGAAGTTCTTTGCTCTAACGTAGTCTTTACACTAGGAAAAAAAATGAATAGAGTTAACCTAGGGCTGGGTGATTATTTGATTGCGATTATTTGATCGCAATTATTGATCAATATTGATCAATTATGCCTTCCATAACAAAAGTAATGAGCTTCGATCCTATCCAATTGGCAAGTGTGCACAAATTGTTGCTSTTTGTAGGTTTATGTTTCTTTATGGCATATTTAATGTGAAATTCAATTCTAAAACTTTAATTTTACAAACGGATAACTTTATTAATGTGAGATTCKATGATTTACACATACCTTTTTAAATATCTTGCAAAAATAATTTCATGTTCTACTGAACATGTGCTATTTGTTATATTAGTGAATTTCTGTAGCTATTTATTTGCTTATTTGTTAAATTATTTTTTTCAGTCACTTTTTAGGTTAACAAAAAAAATTGTGATATTAATCGTGATCGGAGGATATGAAATTATTAATCGTGACCTTTTTTTTTGCCATATCGCTCAGCCCTAATTTAACCCCAGTATGTGTCAGGAACTACTACTTCTACAGCTACACCAAGTTTTAGCTCAGTGTTTGAATAAATCGGTTGAGTCGTGGCCTTTTTTTTTTTCAGTCTAAAAGGTGAATGGATGGGAGCAAACAACAGAAAAGTGACCGCATGCGACTGTGCTCTTCTTTCAGGGACAGCGGTCAGGTGGACGTCTTCTTCACGCTGAGCTATCAGAGCGAAGACGGCCCGACGAGCGTCCGCATCCAGCTGCAGGACCTGCTCTTCAGCCTGTACGGCAGCCACAGGACTTTTGCCTCGCTCTTCGCTCTGCTGGCGTTTTACACCGGCGCTTCCTGTAAGCTGACGGAGCCGTAYCGCACGCAGCGCCCGGAGCGCCTGAAGCAGCTGTGCAGGAGAGCGTTTGTGCGCACGTACGGAGCAGAACATGTAGACACCTTCCCTGGACTCAGCACTCAGCTTAAAGCCTATGTCTGCGCGTACCCTCACAGTATATAGGCCAACCTGTGGACACAGTGCTTTTTTTTTGTTTGTTTAAAAAATAACTATATATTTTTGTGTTTTACTATAAACACACATTTTTTTTAAAATGCAATGTGACATGCAGCTTATATTTTCTTGGAGAGTGTTTTTGTATTGTTTATAATGATCACAGTTGAATGTTATACATGCACAGAACTGAAATGAATCAAAACAAAGTAAAAATATGAGAACATTTTGCTGAAATATTGTAAATTTGGTTACTGGTGAGTTTTAGACAAATTAAACATTTCCTGGTTGTAATGGATTTATTATCTATTTATTTGAAAACAATACAAAACTTTTTAAGGCTACATAGAAAAAGCATATACTATTATCAATTAAAAGCATCATGCTGCCTTGGAGTATTTGATGTACTGTAYTAAAACAAAACACCTGTTTCCCGTAGTAATTTATTTATTATTCTGTAGCATCAGAGTCACGGTTCATTACTAATCTTGCTTTACATTAAAAAAAAGTAATTTGAATTGGGAGATGGCAAACGTATGAATTTGGGTTTATTGTAGATTTATTTATCTCTTGTGCAGTGTTGAACTTTCTGTGTATTTCAAGTGTGGTTGACGAGAACAGCTGAGTCTAACAGAAATTTTGCCAATCTGTTAATTATTTAATTAATGTTTGTCACTTTTTGTCTATAATAAAACTTTTTAGGTATTTGATTAATTTCATTGTTTTGTGCAATTATAAATCAGATCTGAAACTCACGACACTTGAAATAAAATTTCTTAGTTACAGCTTTAGGACCTAAATCCAGCCGGTTTTATGTTTTGTATTTGTATTTCAAAATGTTTGTTGATGTTAAATAAATATGATTCATTTGGAAAAGACATGGTATGTTTCAGTGATGTATAGTAACTAAATAGAGATTAGAGATCCTCTTTATTGACATTCAAACATAACATCAGGGATGCAATGAACAAAACTGCACATGACAAAACATGSGGGAACAGGTCATGCGGCAACCAGGTTGCGCTACCTTTAGCAGCTGGAAATACACAATCAGAAAGTTGAGTTAAGTTCCTCTGATCCTATGTTTACATCTGAAACAGGATCATATGCACAAAAAAACATTCGCGATAGATCAAGACAGCCTGGGGCAGGAAGGGAGCTTAGGTCAGATAACACAAGAGATGGGGTGGGGTTCAGTGGAATCAGTGACGTCGAGGGTGGGTCTCCATGCTAGGACTGACCACAGCCCCACCAGAGTCCAGAGTCACATGATGTTATCGTCTCCTCCTCTTCGGCCTTGGGTTCACGGCCAGGTCCAACACGGGTGATGGGGGTGGGAGGGAATCAAGCCCTTGTTGACATCTCATCCTGGGGCGCATTAGAAAACATGGCAATCAAGGCCATGCCGCTGGGAGCCAATAGAAAATCACAATTGTTTTGGGACAAAACAGCCTTGAATTTTCTGCTGCTTTTTAATGTCTCAACTGCATCTCTGAAAGTGGCGAAAAAAATTTCAATCAACCGAATTCGGGGTCCTCCTCGCCTCTTCATCGTCTGAAGCTTCACCCAGATGTGATCCTATGCCAGAGGCTCGCTCCTGAGCTGGGATCTTCATCAGAGCCACATCCAGTTTGCGATTTATCCCCCAGCAGCTGAGTCTGTGTGCTTCCAGCCTGGCAGAAACCATCCAATGCGCCCGACAGCTTCTCAACGGCCCGGAC